GGTTGGCATCTGGTTGAGTATTTCTCCCAAAAGGTGCCTCTCGTCAACACTCTCGACGACGCTAGGAAGAAAGAGCTAGTTGCGTTCGTCACCGTTCTCAAACGGTGGCGCCACTTTTTTCTCGGCCGTCGGCGTTTTAAATGGAATACGGACAACAATCCGTTGACCTTTTATAAAACGCAGGACACGGTCACTAGCACGATCGGTCGATGGATGTATTACATCGACCAGTTCAACTTTGACCCGTGCCACATTCCCGGTCCCGCCAATCGAGTTGCGGATGCCCTCTCACGACGGCCCGAGTTTTGTGCAATTGTGACCACGACATTCGACCTCGATGACGATCTGCAGCCGCACTTCATCAAAGGCTACAAGTCCGATCCGACTTACTCAACGCTTTACGCGGAGCTTCATCAAAGGCTACAAGTCCGATCCGACACAGTCTGAACTTTTGTCTTCCCTGAGCTGCCCTTTGAGTTGGTGTTCTCCATGCAGTGGTTGAGGGCAGTCAACCCTAGGATCGACTGACAGATTCCTAGAGTTGAGCTACCAGACCGCCAGGGTGTGTATCAGCAATGCATGATTGCTGCTGACCACCACCCTAAGACCTCCTGCTACTACCTGAGAGCGAGGGAGTTCCATGCTCTCTCTCGCCAGTACCACCATGAGCGTTTGTTCATTGCTTTGGTCAAGCAAACAGATGCTCCCCCTATTTCCTGTCCTCCTGAGATACAGCAGGTAGTGGATCAGTATGCTGATTTGATGCAGAAGCCCTTTGGGTTACCCAACCGGCCAACCAAGCATCACATCGAGTTGCTGCCTGGAGCGGTCCCTCCTAAGGGTCGCGTCTACAGGATGTCCCCTGCTGAGCTTGAGGAGCTCAGAAAGCAGCTTGAGACCCTGACCACCAAGGGCTGGATCAGACCCAGCACATCTGAATTCGGTGCACCTGTTCTCTTTGTACCCAAAGGGAACGGCGAGTTCRGGATGTGCATTGAYTACAGGGGTCTCAATAAGATCACTAGGAAGAGTACTGAGCCACTTCCTAGGATCGATGACCTCCTGGATATGGTGCAGGGCTGCACAGTGTTCAGCAAAGTCGACCTCAAGTCTGGCTACCACCAGATTGAGATGGCAGAGGAGGATGTCTACAAGACAGCCTTCAAGA